TCCCCCCCCTCCTGAACCCCACGGCTCTCTTCAGTCTCGCAGGAGCCAGTGCAATGGGAGAGGAGTGAGAGAGGGAAGAATAACATTGCACAGACTTGCAGCCAGCTTCGTTTGCAGTCCAGAAGCAGCTTTGTGTATATAAGTCTGAAGACAGTGCTGGTATGGAAAGCTACACTGACTTATTGCTCTAACTTAATATCAACCAGAATCAAAGGCTTGCTCTGTCTTTTTTTAGAACTATTGACTGCTTTTAAATCCCTAGAGGCTCTTCTACCTTAGGTTCGTAATAGAGTGTCCTCAGAAACCAGTGCATATTTTTCTCAATTACTTTGCAGACAAGATTAACCCTATATATGCCCAGCCACTCTCTGTTCCTGTGTACTTTAAAGTGTTTTGTCTGTTTTGGGGTTTTTTTTTAATTTCTTTTTTTTTTTTTTTGGGGGGGGGGGAAGTTGCTTTGTCTCTCAATGCATTAGTCTGAACCTTTATCAAAATCCCCCACCATCATTTTGAAATGGTTGGGAAAGAACTGACATGAGAAAGCATGGGCTTTATTACCTATTTGCTTCCCTTCTCTTGTCACTCAGTGAAATGTCCAGTTGTTAGAAGATACCTGTAGGAACATAGATATTACCTTGCCAGGGGGTTGTCTTAGAGGGTTAGTCTAAAATGACAAAGATACCGTAAGTTGGCTGAAATCTGGCAGGAAAAGGAAAGACACGAGTTGAGGCTGAGGGCCTCAGGGAGGAGACAAATAGTCGAGGACTGCTGCAAGAAGATTAACAGTAGCAAGACAGAATTAAGTAAAAAAGAGAAGACATTTGTTTCCCTTTCAAGAAAAAAAAAATCCCACTGTTGATATCTATTAGTCTTCTTATGAAAGGACTGAAGGCTATTACTTGTGACTTCTAAAGGTAAGCAGAATAAATCACTAGAAAATACGCTTTAGGGAACAATCTTGCTCTGACAGAGGATGATGAAATAAATTACTCCATGTTTCTTTCTTACTGTCTGCAATTCAAGGTAAGCTGTTTTTACAGGAGATGGCAGGAGAAAAAAAGGTGTGTTGAAAGAGCCTAATCTTTCTCTGGACTCATCTGCTAATTTGAGTCCAGCCTCAAACTTCAGTGCTAGTTTGTTCTGGGGGGCACCACCATGGCCCCAGAATGGCTTTGGAAGCACTTTGCAGATAATGACTAACCAGACACCTGCCAGGCTGCCAGGCAGTTTGTAGCAGAGAGGTTTCCTGGGCAAGGGGTCATCTCCAGAGATGGACCACATAGGGCTTGCTTCCTAGTTGTTACTTCTGCACCTTCCAGCCATCCCTCCAGGTGCTTGGAGGGATGTGTCTTCTTGGCCTGTCTAAAACTTGGTTGCTTGTTTGGCATGACGCTTTCTTAACATACCCAGCAGTTGGCCCATTTGGACATAGATGTTGCCTGGACTTCAAGCTGATGCGTTTTTTGCCCTTCTCAAGACATGAAGAGTTGACTTTATGGATTTGTGCACTTGATATGAACATGCTTTGCAAAAAGGGCAAATATTTTTAAATATTCATGGCAATGCAAATCTGACCCACAAACGTCCAGGGAAAAGCAAACAGAAAGTGGTAACTGGAGGCTTCCTTTTGCAGTCTCTCTGTTGAAGTTTGTGTCTGCGATATATTTCTTTTTAAGCCAAGGTTTCCTTCAGAAACAGTGGTCCTAGTCCTGCATTGCATAGAGTGGAAGAATAAATCTGCATGTGGTCAGAGCTGTTTAATATTTCAGTAGAGTCCCATGGGGTTGCAGAATTCCAGGAGCATGCTCTACAGAATGGGATGGGAAAAGAGGATTAATACAGTCCCTGGAGGGCGGCCCTCTTGGGACTTTTTGAATCAGGTAAAAGGAAGAAAGCTTGAAAAGAAAAATGCAGTTGACTGAAAAGGCACAGAGACCTCTAAAAGCCTGCTGATGTGGCAAGAGCTTTCTATCTTGGAAGCAGTCTACAGAGATGAGATCTCAACACCGCTGCATAAATCCCAGGATGGCTCTGCATAATTCACATCAGAGTTGAGCCAGATCCATGTTTATGAAACCAGAAAAAACACGGCCCCGCTATTTATCATGACACTTACTGCTCTTTTTTTAAATTATGTCAAAAGCCTCAGACAGAATCATCCCCTCCTTCTTGTCACAGTGCTGGCTGCAACGCTAATAAGAAAAGATTGGGGGCTTTGTTTTGGTTTTTGGTTTTTTTTTTGGTTTTTTTTTTTTTAATAAGAGAAATGTTTCTCCTCTGATTAGCATCTGATTGATTCTCTTAAGTGCCTCAAGGCAGGGCCTAAGGAGGAAATGCAAAGATGTGGCCACACACAAGTTATCGCATGAATGGGCGAAGAGGGGCTGGGAGAAGAGAGGCGAGAAAACACCATGGCTGCTATAGAGGGAGCAGGGGAGCGACGTGATGGGACATCACTGAATTAGTTGAGTAGACTATGGCTTGTGAGACTTTGAAGATAAGAGCAAGAATTATGACTCAACATGGGGAAGGGAGTCATGGGAGGTATTCAAAGATGAGGGAGTTTCAGTCACAGGAATGCTGGCATGCTGGTGAGCACTCCACACCTGCCCTTCCCATTGGTACGTGCTGATGGGAGCCTTAGATACATCCTAGTATGAACAGAACAGCAGGCAATTGCACAAGTATACATGAAGAATGGGGCAATAAAACTTAGAAATTATTGCAAGGAAAGGCTGGACCCCTTGGCTTTTGCATTTCTCAGAGTCT